TAAATGTAGATTTGGCCAGAGCGAAAAACTATATAAGGCATGGTTTATAGTATACGCTTCTCATAATTTCGGCGAGAACACCATTAGCATTAACAATCAGTTGCTTTCATCACACGCATTCAAGAAAATAGGTAAGCGATGATGTAGAAAAAGTTCTAATATTCATGAATTGCTCTAGTCAGATTCCAGTTTATCATGGAAGACAAATACACGATTCGTGTTACCGAAAATTTAAATTGGATTGGCTCTCAAATTAATGACGTCGAATATCGTTGTGAAGAAATTCATGATAACGGTGACAGAGTTAATTACCGTGTAGCGATAAGTCGAGCTGATTACGAAAGATTGTCAGCAACAAGTTCGCCGAGAGCAATATCATTCAATAGCTTCACTAAGGTATTACGCCCATTCATGCTAGGTCGACACGCACTCGACGACATACCTGAAGCATTTCGCCTACTTGATAGCGATCATTCAGAGACAATTGATATTGGTGAATTGGCTGCTTTTATGCCTTGCATTGTGCCCAATGCCAATCCATACATGCTTCTTCATCAAGTTCAAAAAGTTGATAAGAACTGTGACTACAAATTGAATTTGTCTGAATTCACTGAACTTATAAAGCGCGGCATCGGTCGAGATTTGGCACTCGGGCGCTTATAACATAAAACTTTTCTTACTGAACTGCTTTTTAAAAAAATGTAGCACCTATAGATCAAAATAAACTTGAACCGACATCAATAAATACTAGATTCTTTCGTTGTCTATAAATAAATAATTTGGCAGAGTGTGTAAGAAGATGTTCAATATTGATGTCTTCTGTTTTCGACGAAATTAGCCATTTAACGAAGAGAAATTCGTTTCATATTGTATAGTTTTCTGTCATGTCAGGGTATATTGAAAAAAAAACATAATTTCAGCACTATATGAGTGCGTCAACAACGATGAATGAGTCTGAATGCAGAATAGTTGGAATATATCTGTCTCTCATATTATTTCTGCAGATGTTTTTGTTGCTAAAGTGAAGTTAATCAACTTGACTTTGTCTTGTTCACCGTTAGGCAGAGATGCAGTTCAGAATATTGCGGGAGAAAAAAAGAAAAGTCGAAACACGAGGTCTTTTTTCATGTGAATCGCCACATCAAGTAGCTCGAGAGACTGAAAATTTGTCACTTAAGGGACGCTTCGATGTCGTATTGGTTGCTGCCTGGATAGAAATATTCATACATATAAAGTGGTTGTTATAGACAAATGATGTTCAGCATCATGAAGTGATGGTGGTGTCTCGAGTAGACATGTGCGGAGCTGGGACCAAAAAAGTCTTGGTCCTGCACATGTCTGGTCGGAACTCAATCAGCACTCGGAACAAAAGAATTTTGTACAGCAGGTCTCTCAGGTCGACAAGAATAAATTAGACTGCATTTTTTAATATTTCTCCTGTTTATTTAGCCAAATGGGGCTGATTTTTGTTCTAAAATATTTCTCGTCCAATTCTCTATAAAAAAGGTATTGAACATTTTATTGTAGAGTCCAAAGATGCGAAGTGCCATGAGACATTATAAGAAGTATCAAAATGGAGAAAAAATTAAACTTATATAAGCTGAAAAACAAGTTATTCCAGTATTTTTTCCTGAAATTTTCTGAGAGAGAAAAATTAAAGAAGCTATCGTGTAGGTTTTACAAAGTTCTATTTTTCGCCTTTAATTTCAAAAAGATTTCAATTAGAATTGAGAGCGGAGAAACTTCATTATTTGTTGCGAATTTTGCAAAAAATAACGATTTTTTTTTATCAATACTTTAAGCCTCTCGACGAAACAAATAAAACCTGCCCAAACCTGATCCGTTCAGGCTGATTTTTTTCATTTATTTTAGAAACGAAAGTTTAATCATTATGGGCGGGTCTTTAAGGTTTAAAAAATTTTTTTTTTCTAACACGTAAACAATGTAAAAGTTGTTGCTGTTTTTCGCTTGTTTGCCGTACAGCGGATTTTCGCGTCGAATCTTTGGACTCAAATAAATTGCGCTCTACACGAGGAGATAGAGCGTCTTTGAAACTACACAAAATATACGGAAGCCGTGTTCTCGTAGTTGTGCAGTCTTTCGAAAAAGTATTGCTTTATTTGCGAAAATAGACTTCATTTTCACTCCATTTTGACACTTCTCATAATTTCTCATGGATTTCGCACCTTTGGATTCTACAGTAAAACGTTCAATACCTTTTCTGCAGAGAATTGAACGGAGAACCTTTTAGTACATAAATCATCCCGATTAGGTTAAAAAAAATGAAGAAAGATTGTGGGTGTGGGTGTGAGTCGACAGAAGAAGAATACCCATACCCACAATCATTCCCGCGCTCACACCTACATCCACACCCACACCCTAGCATAATTACCATAAGAGAAAACTCATTACAAAGTTGCTTATTTATAACTTTCAACGACGGCGTCATGTCATATAAATAATTCGGTTTTCATCATGTCTTTTATTTTGTATGCAATTTAAAACATGGATCATCGTATAGAGAGCCGTGACCCATGCTCGTCCCTGTGTACACCAGAGATCAAACGCACACCAGCCTCTGTAACTGCATAACATCGTATGAAACATGAACAGAATTATTTCCTCGCTGACAGGAAAAGAGGCTTCGATTGAATCATTCTCCCTGGGACTGTTGACGCAAGTCAACATATGGATTCATACATAATTGTGTCAGGCCTTCATTGCTTTCCGCTAGAACTTATCACTGCCGTCGTTTTTGGTAAGAATGGCGAAGCAGAAATGCCCAATAGATATCGATGGTGCATGAGTTGTGTTGCGTACGTCGGAGAAAATCAGTGGGAACGTTTTTGTTCATACCACATGTTTAGGTTAATGGACGTTATGAATGACACATTTATGTGGCTGGAGTGGTTCACATTAATTCAAATAAAGTGTACGGTGATAGATATTTCGGTATAGTGGCCTATAGATGGGGAATAGTGCACCTGTTGGTGGACAGTGGGCGACATCACGTTACGAAGTACAATGGCAGCGAATTTGCAGAGGTGTAGTATGTACAGCAGGTATAGGAATACTGATCTACTTTTGCATTCCGCTGTGGTTGTGTCTCGTGCTTTTCTAGTTTTATCGACCTAGACACCCACACCCACACCCTCTGACTCTTATTTGGTGACTTGTGCAATATGGTGATTTTTTTACGTCTAGGTCGTAGTGAAAGGGAGACATCTGCAGTACCCATTGTATGTAACAGACACGTCGGTCCTCGCAATAACCGCAATTATATGCAATACAACATGTTTGTGATGCTTTCCTCAGCTCCACTAACAGCTCCAGCAACAAATGAAGTTTTTCTGTCATTCCCTGTCAATTTAAACGTTGATGCTGTTTTCTCCCAGTTTAAATATATATGCGAACTCGGGTAAGGTATCTCTTTGGAGTTTATAATTATAATTTTTATAAGAAAAAATTTAACTTTCCCTACTTTCCCTATTTTACATGAAAGTCCTTCTAAGAATTGTTGTTATGTTTGAGGGAAAAGTTTATCTTTATCTTTGGCTAGGAGGTAGCCGGCCGAATTTTTGGAAATTTCGTTTATATTCGAACTCAAATTAGGCAGATACTCACAACAGTATGTAGTAATCTCGAGCGTTCTCGCGGACACCATGATCTATAAGTAAATAAATAAAATCAGTTGCTTTTGAGCCTTAATGATAGCACCTTGTTTTCTGAGTGTGCATTTCTCAAGGTTTCATTGAAAATAGATAAAACATTACAGATACTTGACGAAATGCTCTCATTTCAATAGCTTCGGTCGTTGGCATATGTTTTAACTGAAGTGGAAAGCATTCGAAAGAATCTGTTTCGAAGGTGTGAAACTTTTTTGGCATAGGTTTTTGGTGGCTCTCGATTTCAGTTAATTAGAAGAAGAAGAAGCAGAGAAAAACTTCAGCGTCATGACTTCAGTTCAATACACCACAGTTCATTTTGCTATGTGAAATGATGTGCACAATGTGTAGAACAATTAGTAACACATAGAGAAATATTTCTCAACATGATAAGCACCGAACATGCGAGCGCATAGCAAAGTGTCCTTGCCGTTGAGCTTACGTATATCTTTTCGAATGTTCATGCACATGCTGTCCCTCATTATACAATGCCACGGACCTATTTCAAATTTATGCATACGGCTTTACGTTTGCGAAACAGTGTGCCTTGGTAAATTTCATCAAATAAATGGAATTGCATGATGATTGAAATTCAGTTTCAAGGTTTACACTTGACTCTGTACGATCCAGGGAAAATATCTGATAAGCAACTGAATTTGTGTGCACCGAAATTGAATCTTCAATCGAATTGGAAGATTTTTCTCATTTTTTTCTCAAGAAAAATCGGTCTATTCGCTTGAAGATTAGATTTTGGTGCACAATAGTCCGGTTGGTAATCGGATATTTTTCACTAGCGACGGTCAAAATTCTAGCCAAACATCATAATGCATATAGAAGTTCGTGTGGATAGGAAAAAATCAAGAGTTTAAGTAAACAGTCTCTGACACGTTTCCATTGGTGTCATATCAGTTGTATATTCGATCTAAGTATCTCATTTAAACAAAAACAGTTTATAAGGGTGACGAGGTTTTTGTAACTACATTCGATACCCACCATTTCGACCTCGATTTACACTTGAAAGCAGTCTTTGAAAACACACGATCATTATCAATGTTAGGGTATTCATTGACTGTATTATTGTTAGGTCATAAAGGCAACATAAAATTCTAGCTGAATTTTGTAGACGAGAATCCTGATAAATCAGCCTATTATATTCCGTGAAACACCTATTTTCACTCGCAACACATCACACTTGGCTTTTTATCAAGTGTTGCGGCGTGAGAAAAGCTTACACAGAGCAAAAAGTAATGGTGTTCATTTGGAGTTCAGTACGAGTCGTTTGCTTCATAATTTCTTCCAGATTTTTAGAAGCAAGCTTGTTTATAATAGAAGCGTATTTATATGAGCATCGCAGTATGATTGCGAATATGGTACAGTGACTGCGCAGGCGAGATAGAAGACAAGAATCTCATTCATCGAGAAATCTGCACTCATATCTGTGCCAATAATACAAGTGTACTCTATCTTCATCTTTTATAGTTCAACGATATAAGAGCCTACGGTCACTATACAGTTAGACACTCGAGCTTCATAGTTAAAGGTAGGTGGTTGCTCATGCTTTCTTCTATTTTGCCTTCTCTCTTCTGATCTGTTTCCTCTCCCATACTTGTATACTCATATGCTACGTGAAGGACGCATAACTACATTAATGGAGCACTATGGAGAGCATCCTTCCTGAAGAAAGCGGCAACGCTACTTCTCCGCTTTACTGATTCTCGTCACAATTAAAATATACACTGTATTCATAACAAAATAGACTAAATCATCGTCTCACTGTCATTACAACGAGTGTGATTGCTTTCTATCAAGATTCCTCATATGCTTCGAATGATTTCATACCTCGTTGTCTTTCATAGTGAAAGTACAAATTAAGTTGAGAATTTGTAAAGAAATCCAACAGTTCGTATATGGATCTATTGTGCGCACTTCCCCCCTCGTCCCCCTGACATTTTTCATGGATGTGTTCACATATGGCAAGATCTAACTATTCCAAATTACGAGTGGTATGTGCATTCCGATTGAAGCAAATTACTTTTCATAACACTCATGAAATCACTACATTTAGAGATACCTGGTGATGGTGCTGTTCGATTCGGTCCTTTCTGATGAACGACACTAAGCGAAGCACAATGAGTTTCAAAGCTGTTACTAGTCCTCCAATAAAACCAATAAGTGATGTGATAATTTGAATAAGATCATTTCTCGTTGTAATTGTCTATCTACATTCGGATGGTCCACATGCCGTATAATAATCCTCATAGATGATCGACGAGTTCCAATCTTCCACTATCAACTTATTCAATAGCGCTTCAATAGTGGTGTTCGGAAGAAATTGACCAGATGTCGATGAGTTTAATGCCGTTAATGTCATAGAAGATGTTGATCGCATGTAATTTTGTAACTTAGCTAAACATGCTTCATTACAGAAACACTAGCGGAGGTACCCGATGGTAGTCATGATAATTTTCTAATATATACTTGACATATTAGAAAAAGACGTCACTCTGAGCTCCTATCAATTATTGGTATTCGATATGGCAAAATATGTTCAGATCACTTTCTCTTTTCAACTGATGTTTTCCCCATTTTTAATTTAAAAAAAAATTTCTATCCTTTTCAGTGTTCTTTTTGTTTGATCGACTTTTATTACAAAAGACCATTTACCGAAATATAACTTTGATTGCAACGCTTTTTGATACAGAACCTTCTCGATTTTCGCAACAGGGGCCAAAATAAACAAATTCTTCCCACTTCCAACTCCTCAGCATGCTACGTTAAGTTGGTCATGAGAAAGGCAAGGGCTCTCTAGATTGATACCAACCACCTTAAGTAATTACTCTTGAGCCTTGTCGATAGGCATTGCGAAGGCAAGACATACAGCAAATTGAAGACGCTTGAATTCAAACGGTATATCTGTAAGAACAATGAATATTCATGGTATGAATACATGCTCACTCTTTGGACAGCCTGTCAACATTATATTTCTAATCCTACATTAGAGATAGAGATTAGAGAATTTCCAATTTTCACAACCTGGATGGCATTACATTCGATTGCCTTCCTTTCCTTGTCTGTCGCGCCAATCTACTCTCAATTTTTCTCTCCACTAAAGAGTATATCATGGAAATTTTGATTGCGTTATTTATTACCGAAACCAAATATACAAACAGTAGACAGACAAAAATTGTCATCTATATAAACAGAAGAAGACACTCGCTTCCATACCCTATACCCACATTCAGTGCTTAGATCCCTGAATCGAACTCATTGCCTCTAAAGTCCCTGCCTGACTTTTCTCCAAACGGCCAAAGATTGATTAGCTAGGTTTCTTAGTAGCCGAATTCCTATTGGTTTCCACACAACTCATTAGATTTCCAGGCAAATACACCTCACATTCGAACTCACCATTTCGAAAAACCCCCTGGACCATCAATGCCTTCAAAGTATAAGTGTTCTGGTCTATTTTCTTGGAGGTATAAGAGTTTTGGCCCGTTTTCATAAAAGCTCAATTCCTATTGGTTTTCGGCCAACCAATCAGATTTCGAGGCGAATGGATCTCAGATTCGAACTCGTCGCCTCAAAAAACCCTGTGTCCCATCATTTCCTTCAAAGTATATGTGTTCGGCTGAATTTTTTTAAGAACTGAATTCCTATTGGTTTCCAAACAACCAATCGGATTTCGAGGCGAATGGGTTTCAAATTCGAACTCGTCGCCCCAAAAAACCCTGTGCCCCATCATTTCCTTCAAAGTATATGTGTTTGGCTGTATTTTTTTAAGAACTGAATTCCTATTGGTTTCCAAACAACCAATAAGATTTTGAGACGAATGGATCTCAGATTCGAACTTGTCGCCTCAAAAAACCCTGTGCCCCATCATTTCCTTCAAAGTATATGTGTTTGTCTGTATTTTTTTAAGAACTGAATTCCTATTGGTTTCCAAACAACCAATCAGATTTTGAGACGAATTTATCCCAGATTCGTACTCAGCGCACTCGGAAACCTCTAGTTCCATGTTTTCTGTGTGTTCATGAAGTTGAGCTCAGTTATAGTTATATGGTACCGAATGCTGCAACCCTATTGGTCAGTTTCATAGATCGCCTGTAGCATGGGTAGGATTCGTTTTTTTTCGGAAAAAAATACATGTCGACCTTCTCCTAGGTGTAAAGACGATTTCTGGAAAGTTTCATAGCATTTGCTCGTGCCGTGTCCAAATGCATGAAGAACAAACAGACAAACAGACAAACAGACAAACAGACAAACAGACAAACAGACAAACAGACAAACAGACAAACAGACAAACATTCTTCTTTATATATATAGATTCAAGAGTAGATTGACGCAATGACTCCAAAACGAAACATCCAACATATAAACCCGGCACAGGCCACAATGATGTTCTGGAATTATTCTCAAAAACAAACGACTGTGTGATGCATGAACTGCTCCATGCACACTTACAGTCATTATCGTATATTCTCGACTGGCAGCCTAAAATAACTGAGTCCAGCATTTGACGAGATAATAGTTTGTCGTCAGTCCTGAGAGTAGGGCGTTGGCTTGGGTAGTATCACGTACCAATCGCAGCGTTAGCAAGAAGTTCTGAATTGTTGATGAAATGAACTGTTGAATGAATCCTTTCGATTATGATTCAAAGAGATATATTGGTGTAGCAATCGCAGTCACATAGTTGGTTGAATAGAACTCTAATAGATTAGTGGATATTGTTTGCTCGATCAATTCACATAGTGCAAACAACGCTTGAAATGTTCAAAGACCTGTTACTCTGAAATCGTCGTTCCAAAGCATTCCGCGATAGGTATTCATAAAAAGTGAAATCCATTGATCGGTCACATAAATACTGCTGCAGACTCGATGCAACATATAGTGAACAGTCAGAACGGTGTCGTAGTTGATCGATATCTTTTCACAAGGGCATATCAAAGCTTCAGGATATTGATGATAGAGTTGTTGGTACTAATGCAGAGTCGGAGCTTTAATTGTAAATACTTTCATGAGACTAACTGCTGATATATATATATATATGAGAAGTGTGGTGAGTGATAGAATAAGTAATGCAATGAAGACTCTTGTTGATATGCGTTGTGTTCGAAGTTCATATTGATCGGTTGAAGGTGGCACCGAGTTAAAGAAATTCAGATTTGTCAGCTAGCGAGCCGTTTTCTGAATCAATCCATGAGCAAGCTTTAGTTTTGTTCGAGCTGAAACAAGACACATTCACTATACACTTAGTAACTTACAAGGGAACATTCTCAGGTGTCTGAGCGCTTTTTATCCGGGATTTTCCGTATCTCATAGCCCATAGTGAACTGTGTCTATGGTAAAAAATATTCAGGTTTCTGGATTGTTTCTGAGGAGATATCGAGCTCCTACTGAATTTTCTTTAGACTACGCCTACATTGACAGCAAAGCTATACCTTCCAATTTTCACCTGAAACTTTGCCTACATAAAGGCCTCAACTAGACTAGCTTGCATAAAAAATTTCAGAAGTTTTGAATAAAATCTCTTTAAAATACGAAACTTTGAAAAACATGCATGCTATATATATTATTTATGAAAAATGGACTCTACCTTGATAGTTTCATATCTTAGAGAGATTTTATTCAAAACTTCTGAAATTTTTTATTCAAGCTAGTCTAGTTGAGGTCTTTATGCAGGCAGAGTTTCAGGTCAAAACTGGAAAGTATAGCTTTGCTGCCAATGTAGACGTACTCTAAAGAAAATTCATTAGGAGCTCGATATGTCCTCAGAAACAAGTCAGAAACCCGAACCTTTTTTACCATAGACACAGTTCACTATGGGCTACGAGATGTGCGAAATCCCATATAAAAAGCGCTCGGACACCTGGGGATGTTTCCTTGTTAGTTGACTGTGAGCTATAGTACTTTCACACGTACTGGAAGAAAGTTTCTGATAGTGATACACCTATGTAAATATCGAAAAGACATTTAGTCGAGATCTCCAGAGCACTTGTTCAAGATAGTTTATAGGAACACTTTCTGCTAATCGTTCTTCTTGTATGTCACTATTCAGATGTGTCGTAGCATTAGAATATTGAGATTGCCTGTGCTTGATGTGGGATGTCACGACGTTAACTACTAGGTATTTGGACGGCATTAAAGAGGAGACCCACACCCACACCCACACACCGTGACGGGACAAAAGCGTGACGGGACATTTGATCAGTATTTTGCAATTTTCTCGGCAACGATAAAGAATTAAGGGTTGAAATTTGGAGTATTCGTTCTATATTTAGCAATCTAGTTTTGCTGAAAATTATTCTGATTATGATTCAGTAGAACTTGAGATACATAAAAAACAAAAAAAAAACGTGATGGGACATTTAGCGAGGAAGGCGCGTTTTCAGATCTGAACTTTTTTATTTTTGTTCTAATAAAAATTATCATAGATTTCTTTCAAATCGCATGTTGTTTTCTTTTCTTCGCTCTACCTTTTGGCTATAATTGAGTAGGGCTTCATTCAAGTTTTCATTTCGAAAAAAACGGTTGACTGCGTGACGGGACATTTTTTATCAAATCTGCGACCACGAATACTTCGAGCAAGTACAAATTAAATAACAGCAACTTGGCTAAATCAAATAGCACATTTTCTAGTCAATCTTACGGAGATACTAATGAGTTAAAATGAATTTTTAAAACGCCTTTTCAACAGAAAAAAATATCAGCTTAATTTATCGCCGTTGGACATGTCCATGTGAAATTTAAGTGAAAAAACGACATCATTTTCGCGCTTTCTAGTGACAGACAATAGCTAGAGGGCTGATTTTAGCAGCCAAACTAGTGACACATGTGAATGATATTTTCTGATAAAATTGTTGAATTTGATTGAGAATTCTGCAAGATATAAGCTTAGCCATTTTTTTTATTCAAATTGTACAAATGGCTTGCAATCGTCTCATATGTGAATCATGTTTAGGATTACAATCTAACAACACTTGGTCTTTACAGAATGCTGTGGCTTATGAATTACATCAATGGTTAGACAAACGTAAAACCAAATCAAGTTTTGACCTTGGTCTCGATCCACATGTATATCATTTTAATTCAAGCGAACTTGAATATCGTCAATCATTAACTCAATACGCGACGTATGATTGTTTGTCGATGCAACAACTGCTTCTTAAATTAAATTTAATTACTAGTCAAGAATTAATTGTTGATTCTTTAAATGAAATTGATATAATTATATCGAATGATTTAACTCCACCAAGTCCACATACATCAAATATTCCAATAACAATTAATATATCACAACAACAATCGAATCAAGCAGCATCAGCTATAACCGTATTGATTCAAACCGCAAATGATAACATGAATGATTTAGAAGCTGTCTCATCTGATGATGATGAACATCAACAACGTGCAATATTAAATGAACAACAACGTAATCCATTAACTATTCAAGAAAGGAAAAAGATTCATAATCGTAGTAAAACATTGAAACAACGGCAACGATCATATAAACATGAAATCGTACAACGTGATATAGATAAACGATTTACAATCACCGATATTAAAAATATTCTTCGACAACATTCTATTAAATTGTGCGCCATCAACACTTCAGTATCACCAACAACAAATAAAAAATCGCTATATATTGGAATAAAAAACAAAAATCTATTATCAAATTACAAAGAACAAACCAAACAATTATTTACAACTACACATTATAAACAATACAAACATGTATTAAGATCATCTAATTATAAAGATGATCGACGTAATGGTTATCAGCGTCGAAATCAAACAAGTTGAACATACTATGCTGGCATAATAAACAATAACCGTTTACTTCGTCACATTTATACTTGATTGATTGTTAAATTATATGAAAAGCCGTTATATTTTGTCGTTTTCTGTCTCGTTATTTTCTGTTATATTTTTTTTCTCTCGTTATTTTCTATCTGAAACTAAATCAAAGACATTTAAACCGTTAATTGTTTAACAACTAAAAATGTTTTCTATATCTTGATGTGTTCGTTATACACGTTTTCTTTCTTTTATTGATATATTATAATATTCATATCTAGTCGTTATTTTGTTTTGTTATTTTTATTTCTATATAAAAATGTTGATAGGACACATTTTTTCATCCAGTATGGGAGTATGTTACAGTAATGTCGCACGT